AACTCCACGGGCTCCTCGTAGCCCGGGACCCGCAGCAGAGTGCGACCCCCGAGCTCGCGCTTCTCCACCTGAGGGGACCCCAAAAACAGCCCCGGTGAGTCCCCAAAAACAGCCCAGCTCACCCTTCTCCACCAGGGGGGAGAGACCCCAAAAACAGCCCCAGTGAGACCCCAAAAATACCCCAGAACCCCAAAATATCCCAGAGCCCCAAAATCCCCCCAGCTCGTGCTTCTCCACCTGGGGGGAGGGACCCCAAAAACAGCCCCAGTGAGACCCCAAAATATCCCAGAGACCCCAAAATATCACAGAGACCCCAAAATATCACAGAGCCCCAAAATCCCCCGAGCTCGTGCTTCTCCACCTGGGGGGACCCCAAAAATACAGCCCTGAGAGACCCCAAAATACCCCAGAGCCCCAAAATATCCCAGAGACCCCAAAAACAGCCCTGGTGAGACCCCAAAATATCACAGAGACCCCAAAAATATCACAGAGCCCCAAAATCTCCCGAGCTCGCGCTTCTCCACCTGAGGGGACCCCAAAAACAGCCCTGAGAGACCCCAAGATATCACAGAGACCCCAAAAATATCCCAGAGCCCCAAAATCTCCCGAGCTCGTGCTTCTCCACCTGGGGGGAGAGACCCCAAAATATCCCAGAGACCCCAAAATCCCCCCGAGCTCGCGTTTCTCCACCTGGGGGGACCCCAAAAACAGCCCCGGTGAGACCCCAAAATATCCCAGAGACCCCAAAAATATCACAGAGATCCCAAAATATCCTAGAGACCCAAAATATCCCAGAGCCCCAAAAACAGCCCAGCTCGCGCTTCTCCACCTGAGGGGACCCCAAAAATACAGCCCTGAGAGACCCCAAAATATCACAGAGACCCCAAAAATATCACAGAGACCCAAAATATCCCAGAGACCCCAAAAATATCACAGAGACCCCAAAATATCCCAGAGACCCCAAAAATATCCCAGAGCCCCAAAATATCCCAGAGCCCCAAAATATCCCAGAGCCCCAAAATCCCCTGAGCTCGTGCTTCTCCACCTGGGGGGAGGGACCCCAAAAACAGCCCCAGTGAGACCCCAAAATATCCCAGAGCCCCAAAATCCCCCGAGCTCGCGCTTCTCCACCTGGGGGGAGGGACCCCCGAGAGACCCCAAAAACAGCCCTGGTGAGACCCCAAAAATATCACAGAGCTCCTAAATATCCCAGAGACCCCAAAAACAGCCCCAGTGAGACCCCAAAATATCCCAGAGCCCCAAAATCCCCCCAGCTCGCGCTTCTCCACCTGAGGGGACCCCAAAAATACAGCCCAGGAATCCCAAAAAACAGCCCAGAGCCCCAAAAACACAGCGCAGACCCCTGGTGAGATGCTTTGGGGTGGTTTTGGGGGGTCCCGGAGCCGATTTTGGGGTGATTTTTGGTGTTTTTGGTACCTCGATATCAGAAATGGCCGAGCGCAGGGCGCAGCTCCAGTGCCCCAATCCCAGGGGATGTCCCGGGGGTTTTGGGGGCAGTTTTGGGGGTTTTTGGGGGTCCCGGAGCTGATTTTGGGGTGATTTTTGATGATTTTGGTACCTCAATGTCGGAAATGGC